GCCTCCGGACAAGTCTGGTCCCGCCGCCGACCCGTAGTCTCGCGTCCCTCTCTGTCGCTAGGCAACCCCGAAGCCCAGCGGAGAGAAAACCAACCGACCTCCGGCAGTGGGCACCTCGGACGCCGCCGCCATGGACCTGGTCATAACACAGGAGCTGGCCCGCGCCAAGAGCCAACAGGGTGGGCGGGGGAGGTCGAGACCCCCTGACCCCCACCCCCGGGAGGACTCCGGGACCTACTGGATCCCAGCCCCTGGGACGACCCCGGGACCTGGGGATACCTGCCCCCGGGAGACCCCAGAACCCGCCTGTCCCCCGCCCCCGGGGAGGCCCGGGGACTCGCTGAATCCAGCCCCCGGGGAGACCCCGGGGCCCGCCAGGACCCCCTCCCCACCCTGTTGACCCCTGCCCTACCTGATCCAGTGACCCCCTGAATCCAGCACTTCCAGGATGTGTCTGGCCAGGGTAAACTGAGGCGCCTTTTTAAAGGAAAGCTTTCGTTTTTTCTAACTGTTCCTCGGAATCACTCACCTCGCGGGGCTCCCGAAGCCCGAGCCGCAGGGCTGCCGCGGGGTTCTCGGGCTGGTCTCGGAGCACCTTCCCCGGGCTCCTCCCCTGGAGAGGAGCGTACCAGCGGGGCCCAGCCTGCCCGACTCCAGCCCCGTCCTGGGCCTCCTGACGGTCTCCGCGGCTGCTCTGCGGCGCGGTGGCCGCTTGATGACCGCGTCTTCCTCACTCCTGTCCTGGTAGACGCTGACGCTCTGAAGAGGGCTTACCAGTTGATTAAGTCCGCCAACCTGGGCAAGTCCGAGTTCGACCCCACAGAGAGCTTCAGCCCGGACCTGTTCGTCTTATGTGCAGAGCAGGCCCTGAAGGTGATTAGTCCCAAGGCTCCTAGGGACGCAGCTTCAGGGGACCCCGATCTCCTGGTTTTCACTGGGATTGGGAAGCGCGGCCCCTGGTGGGTGGTCCACGGGCTGCTCGGTCTCCCAGCCTCTTGGGGTCTCTGTTCTCACACAGATGGGGCAGCGGGAGGTGAGTGAGGACTGCATCCAGATGTACTTCAAGGTGAAGGGGCCGGTCACCCAGTTTCTGGGCCGGGCGCACCTGTGCAGGGCCCAACTGTGTGCCCCCAAGTCCACGGAAAACATGGTGAGAGGCAGCCCTGAGCCCCGCGTGCTGGGTCCTCCTGATTCTCTTCCTTTTAAGTGATGAAGCCTTGGAGTCCACAACCTTGAGTCTGCTGGCGCAGCGGAGGGCACCCGTAGCTCGTCTGCCGTCCTGAGATGAATACTTTATTGCTGGTCCTGCTGTATTTCCCCTGAGTCCCTTTGAGTCTCCTCAGAGTTCCACATCTCGCCCCCACCTCCAGCGTGGTTTTGTTGGGAGCTGGGTGACCGGGCTCAT